AACACTGCGACTGCCAGCGCTGGTAGCCCCAAAGCAAGCACCTTCTCAAAAACCCAGCACAGCCCCATCACACACACACCACAGCACACACAGCACACACACACCACCCCACACACCACCACACACACAGCAGCACACAGCCACACCACCACACCACACAACACCCACAACACACAGCCCAACACACACCACACACACCAGAAAAAAAAAAAAAAAAAAAAAAAAAAAAAAAAAAAAAAAAAAAAAAAAAAAAAAAAAAAAAAAAAAAACCGACACCACACACCCACACACACACCACCACACACACAGCACACACCAACACACACACACACACACACACACACAGCACTGGACTCCAGCCCTGGGCAGCAAAGGCAAGACCCTTCCAAACCAACCAACACAACACACACACACACCACACACACAGCACGCACTGACTCCGCCTGGGCATACAAAGCAGAGCCCTGTCTCAACACACCACAACAACACACACACCACACACACACAGCACACACCACACACACACCACACACAACCCACACACACACACACACCCACACACACCACACACGCACACACACACAGCCACAACAGCACCCACACACCACCACAACACACACACACACACAGCACAACACCCAGCACCACACACCACCACACAGCCACCGACACACACACAAGCACAGCACACACCACAGCGCCGACACACACCCACACCACACCACAACACCACAGCACCACAGCCACCCACACACACACACCACACACACACACCGGCACACCACCAGCACCACAGCACACCCACACACACAACACACCCACAACACACACACCACAACACACACCACACCACACACCAGCACCCGGGCACACACACCACACCACCACACACACCACACCACCACACACAACACACACAGAGCAGGGCTGCGGCTCCAGCCCTGGGCAGGCAAAGGAAGACCTGTCTCAAACACACCACACCACACACACCACACCAACACAGAGCACTGACTCGGCAGGCCTGGGCCAGCAAAGCAAGACCCTGTCGTCAAACACCACACCACCCACACACCACACACACACACCACCAGCACTGACTCCCGCAGCCTGGCAGCAAGCAAGACCCTGTCTGCAAACACACACACACACCACCCACCGCCAACGACACACACACCCACACACACACACACAGCCACACCCACACACCAGCACACACACACACACACAAACCACCACACAACCACACACACCACCACACACACACCACCCAACCCACACACCACACACCACACCACACCACACACGAGCACACCACAGCACACCACACACCACAACAACACACAGCACACACACCCACACCACACATAAAAGACACAGCACACACAACACAGCACTGGACTCCAGCCTGGGGCAGCAAAGCAACGACCCCTTCTCAAACACACAGCAGCACACAACCACCCACAACACAGCAACAGCACAGCACTGCGGACTCCAGCCTGGGCAACGCAAAGGCAAGACCTGTCTCAAAGCACACCACACAGGCGCCACAACACACAACCACACACACCACACACAGCACACAACACACACACAGCCACAAGCACCACCACGCACCACACACACCACACAACCACACACCACGGCACACACCACACACACTCACCACACACACACACACACACCACCACACACCACACCACACACACACACCACACCACCACACACACAGCACACACCCAAACACAGCCACACAACACACACACACCACAAACACAGCACACACACACACACACACACACACACAGGCACACCACACACCACAGCACACACACACACACACACCCAGCAACACACACCACACACACCACCACACCACACACACACACACACACAACAGAGCACTGGACTGTCGGGGGGCCCAAGCAAAGCAAGACCCTGTCTCAAAACACACACACCCAGCAGCAGCACACACACAACACGCCACACACCCACAACACCACACACACCACACACACACACACACACCACGCACCACACACACACACACAGCAGGCACACCAGCACAACACCACACCACACCGGAGGGGCTGACCGGAGGGGCCTCCTGGTCTTCTGGCGGCTGAGCGGGTGATGGTCCCGGCCTCCGGTGGGATCCCAGAGGCCTCCAAGAGGCCAGGGCTTGATGCTTTGTGCACCAGGGGATGAGGAACCCTAGGGGATCTGGTAGGAAGTGCTGAATGTTGTGACGATTAACCAGATTGGATGTACTAGATGTATTATTATTACTATTATTATTATTGTTATTTGTTGAGACATTGTCTCACTATGTTTCCCAGGCTGGTCTCAAATTCCTGGGCTCAAGTGATCCTCTCGCCTCCACCTCCCAAAGTGCTGGGATTACAGGCATAAGCCACCATGTCCAGCTTCAAGTATGTTTTTATTGTGGTTAAAGTACACACAGCAGGCCAGGGGCAGTGGCTCACACCTGTAATCCCAGCACTTTGGGAGGCCGAGGCGGGTGGATCACCTGAGGTCAGGAGTTCGAGACCAGCCTGACCAACATAGTGAAACCCTGTCTCTACTAAAAACACAAAAAATTAGCCGGGGGTGGAGGCGGGCGCCTGTAGTCCCAGCTACTCGGGAGGCTGAGGCAGGAGAATGGCGTGAACCCGGGAGGTGGAGCTTGCAGTGAGCTGAGATTGTGCCACTGCATTCCAGCCTGGGTGACAGAGCGAGACTCTGTCTCACAAAAAAAAAAAAAAGAAAAGAAAATGGAGGCAGAGATTGGAGCGATGCAGCCAAGGAGTCAAGGCCTTCCGGCCACCACTGGAATCTGGAGAGGCAGGAAGGATCCTTTCCTGCAGCCGTCTGAGGGAGCCTGGCTCTGCTGACGCCTTCCCTCAGGCCTCCTGACCTCTGGAGCTCTAGGAGAGCCTCTTGAGTAGCATGGTGCCTGGCTGACATGGGTGTATCGTGACCTGCCCCGTGACTATAGCTGGCATTGGCTGGTCCCTGGCGGTTTCCAGCCCTCAGCTACCACAGTCGGGACGGTCACTGGTTTGATTTCCAGGTCAAGAAAACACCCGCGGCCAGCCCTGGGGTGAGCCGTGGTCTCGCCGCCCCTGCAGAATCCGGCCTGTCGAGTTCTGTTTTCAGGAGGGGTGGCAGCTGGAGGCCCTGCCAGGAGGCTTCGTGTATGGGTAGACGGCCTCTTGGTCATGCCAGTAGCCAAGGAGTGTCTGGGATGGAGTGAGGCAGAGAGAGGAGTAGGGGGCTGGGGGTCCGTCTGGTGGGAGCAAGTTTTCTTCTTTTTTTTTTTTTTTGAGACAGAACGATTCTCCTGCCTCAGCCTCCCAAGTAGTGCTGGGATTACAGGCGCCCGCCACCACGCCTGGCTAATTTTTGTATTTTTAGTAGAGACAGGGTTTCACCATGTTGGCCAGGCTGGTCTCGAACTCCTGACCTCCGGTGATCCGCCCGCCTCGGCTTCCTGAGGTGTTGGGATTACAGGCGTGAGCCACCGTGTCTGGCCGGTGGGAGCAAGTTTTGAAAGACATCCCTGGGACGGGGCTCAGCGCCAGGGACAGCCAGTGAGAGCTTGGTGTGTTTCTTGCCTGGAGCCCATCCCTGTGCATTCAGCGATGACTGCAGCTGCCTGCGTCCTGGGTGGGGTTGTCACCTGTGTCCCCCCGGGCCCCCCCCGACACCCTCAGCAGCTCGGAGCAGGGCCAGGTGCGCCCTCCAGGACAAGGCAAGCTGGGTTCAGGCCTCAGCTTGGCCATGACTCAACCCTGGGGCATCAGAGAAAGGTCATGGGCCTGGTGGAACACAGGACCTCAGGTGCTGGACAGATGAGATAGACGGCGTCGGGGAGGGGACGCCCCACACCAGGCAGGGCCCCCCAACCCCGGGCTGTGCTCAGGAACACAGTACACAGCCCGGGACCGTGGGAGGCAGGCTTCGCAGAGTGTGAGGCAGCTTCCGGTTCCCTGGAGAAGAGGCCACCGGCTTGTTGAGAAAATTTCAGGCCGAGTGCAGTGGCTCATGCCTGTCATCTCGGCACTATGGGAGGCTGAGGCGGGAGGATTCCTTGAGCCCAGGAGTTGCAGACCAGACTGGGCAACCTGGGGAGACCCTGTGTCTACAAAAAAATTAGAACATTAGCTGGGCATGGTGGCTCATGCCTGCAATCCCAGCTACCAGGGAGGCTGAGGCCAGCCTCTTTCTTTTTTTTTGAAAATGGAGTCTCGCTCTGTCGCCCAGACTTGGAGTGCGGTGGGGCAACCTCGGCTCACTACAACCTCCGCCTCCTGGGTTCAAGTGATTCTCCTGTCTCAGCCTCTGGAGTTGCCGGGATATAGGCGCCCACCAACCACACCTGGCTAATTTTTTGTATTTTTATTAGAGACAAAGAGTTTCACCATGTTGGCTAGCCTGTCTCGAACTCCTGACCTCAGGTGATCCCACCCCGCCTTGGCTCCGCAACGGCCAGTTCTGTTAATTTTTTTTATTTACTTTATATGAGACAGAGTTTCATCCCTGTTGCCACAGGCTGTAGTGGGAGTGGGCACGGATGCAGTGCTCAACACAACCCTCCACTTCCTGGGTTGCAAGCAATTCCTCCTCGGCTCAGCCCTCTCCAGAGCTAGCCCTAGGTTACAGGCACACGCCACATGTCGGCGAATCTAAAAAATTTTATATTTTTAGTAGAGACGAGTTTTTCTCCATGGTGGTCTCAGCGCTGGTCCTCGAAACTCGCCAACCTCAGGTGATCCCGCCCACCTCAGCCTCCCAAAGTGCTTGGATTTACAAGCGTGAGCCCCAACTGTGGCCCCAGTTCTTTTTATTTCCCCTTTTCTTCCCTCCGCCATCCCTTTGCCCTTCTCCTCCCCTCTCTTCCCTACCTGCTTCTTTTGCTTCTTTTTCTTTTCTTTCCTTTGGTCTGAGCCAGAGTCTCACCTCCCTGTGCACGCCAGGCTGGAGTGCAGTGACATAATCACAGTCAGCTGCAGCTTGACCTCCTGGCTCAAGCCATCCTCCCTCCCTTCCAGCCCTC